CAACCACTCTAACACTATATCCCCCCTGCTTTTAACATTTCTGTCATGATCCCATCAGTTCCAGCTGCTTTACCCCCTTTCATTTTACGTAATGCCTCACGTACCTCCCCCACACATACATTCTGCTCTTCTTCACTCCTAAAAGATGGTATACCTCCCTGACCAGTGCATGAAATTACTGCATCTGTTTCTTCCTTAACATTTAAAAGTTCCTCAAAATATTCTCGCCATCTACCCAATACCTCCATCTCCCCATCTACTAACTCCCCTACTCTGTTTTTAACTGACAAATCCATATTTTCCCTAGGCTTTCTTAACTTGTTTAACTCACTCCAAAATTTTTTCTTATTTTCATTAAAATTTCTTGACAGTGCCTCTCCCACTCTTTCATCTGCTCTCCTTTTAATTTAATTTAATTTATATATTTTTTATGTTCTGATAATTACAATCTACAATAGTTTGTGATTTCATAGCCAATCTTTGTTTTGACATTAATATTAGGTACTGAAATAGTACTCAAATAGTCACAATCACATTGACAGGTGAACATTTTCAGCTGCTTGGGTCCCAGCAATGTTTTAGACACGCTGGAGTATACCTTGAAGCATGGTGGTATGAAAGGCATCCCTGTACTGTCGACAGCCCAGTGATATTCGATGAATGTGAACTGTTCCAGCTAACCCTCCTTTATTTGTTATCACTGTTACACACAAACATGTCTTGTCTGTCTACCTGTCTCTGCTTATCTGTCTTTGTGTGTGCCTGGAGTATATATCAAACTCCTTGAAGAATTGTGTCATGACAATTGACAGCTCAGTGGCATTTGATATATGGGCAGTGGGGGTACCCTGCATTTACTTGTTTTCACTGATACAAATATGTTTGTCTGTGTCTATTTATCTGTATCTTTGCCTGGAATTTTTTGGTTATCATAGGCAATTTACACTGAATAATAACTGTACAGTGGACCCCCGACCAACCAAGGTATCGTCTAACGATAAATTCGATCGTTTATTAAGCATAAAAATTTTGGCCCGACCAACGATGAAAAACTCGACCAACATGATTTGTCCCGAACGCGTCCACATGTCCTGTCTGGCCTGAGCTCGCCTTAGCTGCCCTGCCTTCAGTTAGTGTGCCAGTGTTTACAAGCCACTGTGGTCGCATCCACGCATACATTCAGTACATTTTGTATTATTCCAGTGTTTTTAGTGCTTGTAACTGCAAAATAAGCCACCATGGGCCCAAGAAAGCTTCTAGTGCCAACCCTGTGGTAAAATGGGTGAGAATTACAATTGAAATGAAGGAGATCATCCCAATGAAACTGGAGTGCGTGTCTCCAAGCTGGCCAGGTTGTATAACAAACCCCTATCAACCATCACTACTAACTTGGCCAACAGAAAGGCAATCAAGGAAGTTGTTGTTGCGAAAGGTGCAAGTGTGTTTTCGAAACACAGATCAGAAGTAGTCGAAGATGTTGAGAGACTATTAGTGGTGTGGATACATGAAAAACATATGGAAGGGGATTCCTCTTCCAAAAAATAATAACGTGCATCATCTCCCCTCCTCCCATCCCATCACCACATCCTCAATAAAGGTGTCATTTATTTTTCATTACACAATATACACATGTATACATGTATTGTGCACCTAGCCTTCTGTTTGTGTGTAGGAAAATGTATATTTAATGTGGTAAATTTTTTTTTTTTTCATACTCTTGGGCGTCTTGAACCGATTAATTTGATTTCCATTATTTCTTATGGGGAAAATTAATTCAACTAACGATAATTTCGTCTAATGATGAGCTCTCTGGAACGGATTAATATCGATGGTCGAGGGTCCACTGTACTTATGTGTACATGCGCGAGATATAGACAAAGGTATAGACAGAGAAAGAGCCAGAGACAGCAAAAGCCAGCCAGCGTGCCAAAATACATAAGACCATAAGAAAGAAGGAACACTGTAGCAGGCCTACTGGCCCATGCAAGGCAGGTCCATGTCACCCTTCCCAGCTTAGACCAATGACCCCACCAAGTCAGGTCACATCCACTGAAGGAAGGAGCATGACATCAGACCTAGTAGCACAAGCTCGTCAGATCCAACTCACACCCACCCACTCTCACTTGTGTATTTATCTAACCTATTTTTACTTTACTCTTAAAAGTCGAATGTTAATACGACATGGCATCAGTGAATCCCTGGTGCTTGCCATGCTATTTGCTTTAGCTGGAACTCCCACTAGGTACTAAGTTGTCCTATATTTTTTTTATTACTGCACACACTGAGTGCACAGACACATTCTTTCATGTCTAGGCAACTCAAGCCTATTGCGCCATATTTGAAGGAATGAAAAATGAAACGTAGATCTACGTTTGGAGTGCTATGCATACAAACGTAGATCTATGTTTGGACAGCTTAAGGGTTAAATCTTCATTTGATAATTCACAGCAGAATAATCTCTTACTCAAAGACAATTCCATATCTTGGTAGTAAAGCAAAATTTTCAGGTATTCACCTTTCACAAGCAATTCTCAATAATCAGAGGAATTACAAGTGGAGGTTAGATGATGAGCATAGAAATATTGAAAATAAGAAATTACTTTCTTTTTAACGCAATAAAAAAAAAGCTTGTTGCTGAGATCTACATACAAAAGTCAGCTTGTCATTATACATGCTAGTTTAATCAAAGTGAATTCTTGTAAAACAAGTAAGTACAGCCTCTCCTCACTTAACAACGTACTCGTTCACTGACGACTCACACTTACAACGGGCTCTCTGATCAGCATGCATACCCAAATAATATATATTAGAGCCGATTTCCTCTGTTTATTACAATAAAGAATACACTGCTGTATAAACATTTAAAACTATACCAGAAATGTTATACATGGTGCTAAGGTAACATTAAAACAATATCAAAGATGGCTGACACAAATCCATTACCATTATAGTATGTTCCTCACTTAGCAACAAATTCATTTACCGACGTAGTCTTAGGAACGGAACTCTGTCGTTAAGCGAGGAGAGGCTCTATACTAATAAAAAAACGTTTATAAATGGAAACATTTACAAACAAATCTTGAGTGTTAAACTAACCATGGCATGATCTACTGATTCCACGTGAACTTTTGCTGAGAAGCTCTCCTGCAAAAGCTGTATTTCATGTTTCTGGAATTCTCGTAACTCTTTTATTTCTCTTTGCCAGTCCATTAACCATTCCTGTTGCTTCTCTAACTTTAGTTGCAACTCCTCATTCCTTGTTCTCAGAATATGAACAGGAGTGCTGGAGGACCCCAAATTTTCAGCTGATTTTGGCCCACTCTTTGGTGTCAGTGGAAATGATGGAAAAAAGCTGTAAAAAATGTAAAAAATAATTTTAATACCATAGAATACTAAACTGGTGACTAACACTAATACATGCTATATTTTTTGTGAAGTAGTTTATTTTACAAAGTAAACAAATATCTTTCTCTATGATGAAAACAAGAATTACTATATTCATATAAAATAATAACAGGCTGATAGGTCAAAAAGAATAAAAAGGAAAAAAGATTGGAAAAGAAATAACAGTATGAACATGGATGAGGGAAATGCTGAAATAGCAGAAAACAAGTAACTAAGAGTTACATCATCTAAATGGGAATAACTAACGAGACTTTTCAGAATGATCAGCACTGGGTCCCTTACTACTCGTGTGTAAATAAACAAATGACCTCTTTACATCAATTAAGTCTTAAAGATCCCTGTTTCTACCTGCTATCACTTTGGAGTTCTACCCTCCAAATCCCAGCCTGAAGCCTCAATTTTTTTTTTTTTTTTTTTGACTACTTGGTTCACGACTTTTGCTGTCAACAGCCCATAGACCTGCAAAGCCATTACAAATAGGCTTATCTGGATTGTTCTGCAGAGTCCACCTTCTTCTTGACAATGTCTACAAGATTCGGACTACGGAGTTTGAAACACCGTTTGCAAAATTGGGCTTACTGCACCTCTGATTTTTCACTAGGTATATTCTCCATTGTCAGAGAATATTGATGGGTAGTTTTTGAGTGGGGTTGGTGCATTGAGTGATGTTGGTAATATTGTCAATGGTTTTGCTAAAAACCTGCAGCAGGTCTAAGAGAAACTAATCCAAGCAGTGACCTACAGGGCCCTGTTGTCTCTTAGTCTTTCGTTGATTCTGTTAGGAAGGGCACTGAGAAACAAAATGGGGGAAAGATAATACATGGTTCAGTGCCTTATAACAAAACTAACAATCGTGGAACAAACACTGAGGCTTGAAATCATCAGGTTTTGATTGGCAAGCCAAAGTCTGGTGCCCCTGTGGACAATGTTACAGTTGGCCACGTAACCGATTCAATATCTTAGATTAGTTCCGAGAGTTTTTCTAATGCTAGAGTATGGTAATAGAAAAACTGAAGCATAACTCTTAGTCTCCAGGCAATGGAGGAAAAGTTATGCTTCAGTGCTTCGAATCTCAAAACTTAGAAAGAGAAAGAAAAAGAAACAAAAAGAGTGATAGTGGTAGGACATGTTATACTGTAATCCACAAACTTTCTTAATATTACTTAACTACGAGGGATGACAAGAAAAAAACTGTTCAGTGGCATTGTACTACCTACAACACACCAGCAGAAGGAAGCCAACTCCTTCATGGAAATGTACATTATTGAATTAGTGATATTTAAGTGTTTTTTTGATAAACAACTGTAGTTGTAGGGGGTGTGTGGACCAGGTGTTTACAGTGAAACATACAAGTGAACAGTATTTAGATAAGGCTAAAGAGGTCTTCGTGGCATTTATGGATTAGGAAAAGGCGTATGACAGGGTGGATAGGGGGGCAATGTGGCAGATGTTGCAGGTGTATGGTGTAGGAGGTAGGTTACTGAAAGCAGTGAAGTTTTTACGAGGATAGTGAGGCTCAAGTTAGAGAATGTAGGAAAGAGGGAAATTATTTCCAAGTAAAAGTAGGCCTTAGACAAGGATGTGTGATGTCACCGTGGTTGTTTAATATATTTATAGATGGGGTTGTAAGAGAAGTAAATGCGAGGGTCTTGGCAAGAGGCGTGGAGTTAAAAGATAAAGAATCACACACAAAGTGGGAGTTGTCACAGCTGCTCTTTGCTGATGACACTGTGCTCTTGGGAGATTCTGAAGAGAAGTTGCAGAGATTGGTGGATGAATTTGGTAGGGTGTGCAAAAGAAGAAAATTAAAGGTGAATACAGGAAAGAGTAAGGTTATGAGGATAACAAAAAGATTAGGTGATGAAAGATTGGATATCTGATTGGAGGGGGAGAGTATGGAGGAGGTGAATGTATTCAGATATTTGGGAGTGGACGTGTCAGCAGATGGGTCTATGAAAGATGAGGTGAATCATAGAACTGATGAGGGAAAAAGGGTGAGTGGTGCACTTAGGAGTCTGTAAAGACAAAGAACTTTGTCCTTGGAGGCAAAGAGGGGAATGTATGAGAGTATAGTTTTACCAACACTCTTATATGGGTGTGAAGCATGGGTGATGAATGTTGCAGCGAGGAGAAGGCTGGAGGCAGTGGAGATGTCATGTCTGAGGGCAATGTGTGGAGTGAATATAATGCAGAGAATTCATAGTTTGGAAGTTAGGAGGAGGTGCAGGATTACCAAAACTGTTGTCCAGAGGGCTGAGAAAGGGTTGTTGAGGTGGTTCGGACATGTAGAGAGAATGGAGCGAAACAGAGTGACTTCAAGAGTGTATCAGTCTGTAGTGGAAGGAAGGCGGGGTAGGGGTCGGCCTAGGAAAGGTTGGAGGGAGGGTGTAAAGGAGGTTTTGTGTGCGAGGGACTTGGACTTCCAGCAGGCATGCGCGAGCGTGTTTGATAGGAGTGAATGGAGACAAATGGTTTTTAATACTTGACGTGCTGTTGGAGTGTGAGCAAAGTAACCTTTATGAAGGGGTTCAGGGAAACCTGCAAGCCGGACTTGAGTCCTGAAGATGGGAAGTACAGTGCCTGCACTCTGAAGGAGGGGTGTTAATGTTGCAGTTTAAAAACTGTAGTGTAAAGCACCCTTCTGGCAAGACAGTGATGGAGTGAATGCTGGTCAAAGTTTTTCTTTTTCGGGCCACCCTGCCTTTGTGGGAATCAGCCAGTGTGATAATAAAAATAACTGTAGTGTTTGGGGGAAGGACTGGCTGGCCTATGTACTGATGTCATTATTGCCTTCACAGTGAATATCTTATTTTCTTTGGTGCTATGCAATAACATCTGGGTGCTGTATAACAAATTTTGTGCATCTATAATTCATGATTTGTAAACCATACCACCCGTGGTATGGTTTGTTTGCAATCGTGTCATTACGATTTCGTGAGTCAATTTATAATTTGTGTTAATATCTTTTAGTGGAAACATAGATAGCATAAACAGTGGTTTACTAAATGATTGAGAGAAGGCAACACACTCCCAGCTGGCTGGCCATACTATGTCCTCCCACCCCACAATTTGGCCGACCCTGAGAACGAGTTTCGGAGAGGGCCTGTCGACCCTCAAAGGGTTAATCTCCAACAAGAACACATCTCTCACTGGCAGTATGTGACAAAGCCTACAGATCAATTTGGTTCAGCTTTCATAATAGAGATGCTACTACTGGTAAGTACAAGGCTTGGAGTAGGTACAATAGGCATCCCACTATCTTTAACAGGAACCTGCATAGGCAAGCCTGTAGGCATACAGAAGTTAAAAAATGGGTCATCTCTAAATTGGAGACTGACAAAAGAAAAACTGGCATCAGGTAGAGTGGGCTCCAAAACCTAGGGGTCCTTGGTCAAGGACTGGCAAAGTTATCTGCCTGATGAACTTATTCCACCTTTAAATCGATAGGATGGGACCACCACTACTAGTAGTCAGGAGAAAGCTGACTTCTTTGCCAAACACTTTGTTGCCAAGATGCAAGTTCTTGATCCAGCAAGGGAACCTCCTTGGCTAACCACAAGAACTGTGTCGAAGTTGTCAGTGGTGGTGATAAAATAAGATGAAGTGTGTCTTCTTAAATTGCTGGACCAAGAAAAGGCTGTGGGCCCAGACAAGATGACCCCAAGATTGCTGAGTAGATGTGCATACCAGCTAACAGCACATCCAACTTGCATCTATCAGCACTGCCCAGCAGTGTAAATGACCTCCTCTGTGATAAGAGGCAAATGTAGTCCCTGTTCACAAAAAAAGAAAAGCAGAGCAGAGTGGAAATCCTGTCAATCACTAGCAAGATTCTTGAGACAATCTCATTGGAGATGACAGTTTTTTGACAACCACTCACTTCTTTGTGACCATCAATACAGCTTCAGAAAAGATTTCTCTGCTGATGATCTGCTGTTAAACCTCTGCACTAAGTGGCACCATACTGGAGGAATCCAAAGTCAGTTGTGTAGTAACACTAGACATGGCTGGTACTTTCGACTGAGTATGGCATTAGGTGATTACCTTCAAGGTAAGATCTCTAAGCGTAGTTCTCAACAAGGCATCCTATTGGTGCAAGTGTTCCACAGGGAAGTGGGCTTGGGTCATTGTTATGGAATGTCTACTTCAATGACCTTCATCTTGTCCCAGAATCCTATGCATATGCAGATGACTATAGTGACATTTACTTATCTAAGAGAAGAATGCCAGCTGTTCCAAGTTATATCAATCACCAGCTAAGAGCAATGTATATGAGCCTGGTAGGTAACATTTGCTCTTGAGAATACACAAATGATGGTCTCTAGGTACCATAATGGTAATGCTGGAGGAAGAATGGTAAGAATGAATTGGAGTGAGCTGGTACCCAGGGACGAAGTTGATATCCTTGTAGTGAAATCTGACTCCAAACTAACCATGAAGAACCACATTGTTAATCTTGTAAACAAGGTAACCAGGAAACTTACAGTACTTCGATGCATCTTGCATCTGCTCAACAACAGAGGTTGCACAATTCTGTATGAGGCATAAATATGTTCACACCATGAGAATACCCCACTTTCTTGAACTGCTTGCCTTGTCTCATCTGCAACTTCTTGACAGAAGAGAGAACAGAGCAAGATGACTCCTCTCTCGCCTGGACCCAACCTAGATGGATCTCTCATTTAACCCTTTGACTGTTTTGGTGGTATATATATGTCTTACGAGCTAGTGTTTCGGACATATTAATACGCATAAATTGTAGCGGCTTCAAATCAAGCAGGAGAAAGCTGGTAGGCCCAAATGTGAGAGAATGGGTCTGTGTGCACGACATAAAAAAAATCCTGCAGCACGCAGTGCATAATGAAAAAAAAAACTTTTTTTTAATTAAAACGCCGACTTTAAGGCGTTTTTTCATAGTACTATTTATCGTTGTATTCTCGTTTTCATGGTCTCACGTGATAAAATGGAAAACATTACAGAAATGTTCAGGAGTAAGCAAATCACAACACACGTCCAATACAGGTCAACTGGGAGTATAATATTCTTTCACTAGTGCATTGATACTATTTATACAATAATGCAGTAGTCTGCATAACAGTAAATTTTGTATTTTTTGTATGAATAAAAAATAAAAATAGAAAGGCAATAATAATATAAGAGGGGCCTAGAGACATGACTAATGAACAGAGGATATGTTAT